GGTGAATCCCTGTCAGACACATACTCCAGGTTAAACACCTTAATTAGCAATTGCAAAAGGTAAGGAGTGATGAGAACTGCAGAGGACACCAACTCTCTGTTCTTGAAGAGCCTTGGAATCGAATGGATGCATCTAACCATGTCAATGAAGGCCACCTTGGATTTGGAAGCATGAACTTTGGCTGACTTATTTGGTTCTCTTAAAAGTCAAGAGCCTCAAGTACTTCAAATGAAGAAGAACTATGGTGGTCCGCTTGCTCTCCGCTTGCTCTGGTTGCAGAGGATGGCAGCTCTGGAAAGAGAAGATAAACAAAGAAGGAAGAGAAGGAGAAGAAGAAGAAAAAGAAGATCCTGATAGCAGATAGTGAGGAAAGTTCTGAAGAAGAAGTCACGATGAAAGAGATGATGAAGAGTCTGGCTTTAATCACCAGAGAATATAGAAAGAGTGGTGAAAAGAAGGAGTACAAGAGTTTCAACAGAAGAAACTTCACAGAGGGTGGTAGATCTGATRYAAGTGAGAAGGAGCAGAAGCCTTCACAGAAGGTAGAGGAGCAGAAGAAGGAAGAGACGAAAGAAGGATGCTTTAGATGTGGCAAGCCAGGCCACTTTGCTGCAGATTGTTGGTCAAAAGGGCCTAAGGCTCCACAGAGGGGTCCAAGAGATGCAGCCTTCTAGAAGGCTGACTACTATCAACAGAAGTCTCTGCTAGCTCAATCTAGTGAGTTAGTAACTGATGAATCCTCTGATGAAGATGATCAGAAGGGTCTTCTTGCTTGGGAAGATTCAGACACAGAGGATGAGTTCTTCTGTGGAATGGCAAAGATCGACTCTGACTCCTCAGAATCAAATGACCAAGAGGTTTCTACTTCTTACTCTTCTGAATCAATTGATCTATACACAGAGATCATTGATAATATTGATTCATGTTATTTGGAACATTACAAACTAAAAGAAAAACTTTGTCTTTGTGAAAAAGAAGTCATTCTTCTCATAGAGGAAAGAAATAGATTTTTTAAAATGATCGAAGAAGGTCAAACAAATTTTGTAAACTTGGAAAAATCTTCAAAAGAAAAGTCTGCCGAAATTCAAAAGGAGTTGAAAAACAAGGTTGATGAGTTAA